AAAATCATTTAAAAAAAATGTTTGCTCATCCCCTTTTGACACTAAGAATGAGAAACGCTGTGTTTGAATTTGTATTTCAGTGTTTTGAAACAAAAATCAAATATCCACTCAATTCTTGTTTTTTAATACTCGTTTCTAAAAACCAATGACCAAAAGATCCACGGACCTTCTGCCAGACTTGTCTCTGGGCTGAGGGTCTTTTGGGGTCAGGGGATGTGGGATGTCTCTCCTCTTCTCTCCGTTCCTGCAGCTCCACGTTTTCTGCTGCATGGTTTTTCATGTGCTTGTAGAGGTTTGTTGTGTTTCCACTGTATTTAACAGCCCACAGCCTGCTGTAGTTTCATTTTCTGCAGTAAAATAAAGGCAAACAGCGCTTCCCTTCCTCTCAGACATTTGGACCCTCCGGTGTCTCTCCTCGGTCTGTCTGKGCCGTGCCTGCTCGGTGAGAACGCTGAGTGGGTGGGCCASGTTCAGCCGACCTGCTTAGCTTAGCTGTTCGGCTAGCGCTGCTGAGCCACGCGTACTTTGCGTGATGACGTCGTTTCACGCGTGCTTTGCGTGATGACGTCATCTCAGCTAAAGTTCGAAACATCGAACTGTATGCAAATCCAAACTGTTTCATGCGTTCTTTATGTGATGACGTCATTTATGACAGCTTGAAATATGCAAATTAGAATCAGCAGAGAGGATTCAGTTTACCAGGAGCAACAGTCGACAACAGTTGTATTAAACAAATTCAATTCAGTTCAATTCAAAACTATTTTATTGATCCCAGAGTTAAATAAGGTAAACATGCAGATCTTTGTGAAGACCCTCACTGGTAAGACCATCACGGTGGAGGTGGAGCACGGTGACACCATAGAGACCGTGAAGGCTAAGATCCAGGAAAAAGAAGGCATCCCTCCTGACCAGCAGAGACTGATTTTTGCTGGCAAACAGCTGGAAGATAGCCGGACCCTGTCCGACTACAACATCGATAAGGAATCAACCCTGCACCTGGTCCTGCGTCTGAGGAGGGCATGAAGATCTTTGTGAAGACCCTCACTGGTAAGACCATCACGGTGGAGGTGGAGCACGGTGATACCATAGAGACCGTGAAGGCTAAGATCCAGGAAAAAGAAGGCATCCCTCCTGACCAGCAGAGACTGATTTTTGCTGGCAAACAGCTGGAAGATAGCCGGACCCTGTCCGACTACAACATCGATAAGGAATCACCCCTGCACCTGGTCCTGCGTCTGAGAGGTGGCATGCAGATCTTTATCAAGACCCTCACTGGTAAGACCATCACGGTGGAGGTGGAGCT